TTTTTTTTTTTTTTTTTTTTATTTTATTTTATTTTTTTTTCCGGTTTCTGTTATGTTTCTATATCATTGTTGTGAAGAGTAGCCAAAGCAACTCATGCTACTAACTGTCTCTGGGTTATATGCTTGTTGCTGAGTCTCATGCATGAAGAAGTCATGAGCTATTTACATTGAAACCTCTGTTTTCTCTCTTTCTGGTTCTCCTTTACACTTACCTGTTCGTCTTCATTTTTTTTTCCAAATAATAGGTGGTTGCAATTGATCGGACGAACAATCTGAAGCTTATGTCATTTCAAGAGTTATCTTCAAGGGAGAGAGGGAGTAAGGAGTCCCTGATTGCTGTAGATAAAATTAAGGTTTTGAATATTGTATGGTTCAAGTTCAGAGCAGATTGTCAAATATTTTTGTTACGTTTGTACTTCTGTAATATTCTCTTTATCATGATAATATGAAAATAGATTTTAATAAACGACCAAAGAGATAATATCTGTTAGTCATCAGTTTGTTAGTTGTTCTTACATTTTTTGTAAGATGTTCCTCCGTTTATGGATTGTAGTTTAGCTTTTTATGCCTAGGTTCCGTAGAGAACTTCGAGTATTTCTTGTACATGGTTGGTAATTGTCTTTATCAACGAACATTAGACCAATTTTGAAAGCATCAAGATTCAATTAAAAATGTGATGGTTGGACAGGAAGAACAGGATGGACAAATTTAAGCTGTGCTTAGAAGCAAAATATTTTCATGATAATTCTTTCATTATGTTATGAGCACAACCCGAGTTTATTTTCAACACTGGAAAAATATTTTCTACCTGTTTCAACATTGTTGGTTTGGGTTGTACACATATATGTGTGTGTGTGTGTGTGTTTGTGTGTGTGTGTGTTGCTCACATCTTCTTTTGTTGCAGGTTGATGTATGCATTTTTGTCTTTGATATCATGTTTGCAAATGGAGAGCAGTAAGTTCTTTTGGCCATATACTTGTTTTCCTACTTTCAACTTATATGAGAAAAATGTGTATACTGTATAGAGATAGTAAGTTTATTCCGTGATAAGAAACTATTATAAGTGATTATTTTAACTATAAAGTGAAAAAAAAAAAAAACATGTGCAATCTGAGACTACCATTTGGTAGTGTGGAAGATGCTCTTAACTCTTCTCTGGCAGCCTGCTTATGATGTTCTTTATTTTTACCCATGTGTTTTGTACTCTTACTGAATAGTATATATTTTATTTTAGAACCTCACAGGCTATCTAAAACTTCTTTGCAGGTTGTTGAATCTACCCCTTCGTCAAAGGCGTAAATGTATGCACTTCCTATACATATGAATAATTTATACTATTTTATTGGACAGCCTGTATTATGGAATAACATCAGTTTTTACCTGATTCTGGGTTTCCTCTTGGTCAATTAGATTTGAAGAATTTATTTGGCGAAGAAAAACTAGGTTATTTGGAGTATGCCAGAGAAATGACGGTAACTTCTTGGCTTTTTTTTTTTAACAAATGAACCAATATTTATTACTTCCATCATATGCAGTAACCCCAGGCTTTTAGGTGGAATCACATGATGCTGATGTAGAGAATGAGGATACACTGAATAGGATGAATAAATTTCTCGACAATGCCCTTAATTCATCGTGTGAAGGCATTATGGTTAAATCCCTTGATATTGATGCTGGTTATACACCTTCAAAGCGTTTGGATGCCTGGTTGAAGGTGTTACAGCTGTTCTCAACATGATTAAGCCAAGAAACAAAATTATTTTATTCCTCGAGAAGTGAGGGTCTTTCTGCATTGCAGGTCAAGAGAGATTACGTTGAAGGACTTTGTGATTCCTTGGACTTGGTTCCAATTGGTGCTTGGCATGGAAATGGAAGAAAAGCTGGATGGTAGCACTGCTATCCCTCATATTTTCTGCTGATTTGTACTGATATCACAAATGTTGCCACAAACTAGAATGGAATTTGAATTCTTATTCAGTTTCTTGACTACCGAGTTAAAATCAGTCTCAAGTTTGTAAAATTGCCCTGTCATATTTTTACAGGTTTAGTCCTTTCCTTTTGGCTTGCTACAATCCTGATACCGAAGAATACCAGAGCGTATGTCGCGTCATGTCAGGATTTTCAGATGCTTTCTACAAAGAGGTGGGCCAAAAATAATATTTCATTGGTACCATTTTTATCTGGATTTATGAAGAGACATGTTTTCTAGAAATAGCAAATTTTGCATGTTCTCAGGATTTGCAGTCAGTTCTTAAAAATGGAGTAATAATATATGACAGTGCTTGAGAAATTACTTTTGTGGGTTATGTGTTATTTCCCATTTGGAGTCCAACGTCAATCCAATAGATCGAATTAGTTGCCCCTATATTGGTAATATACTTAATAATTTGATCAGAATTGAGCTGCATTTGAAATTGACATGCAACTTCATCCTGTTGTGAGGTTTCCATTTCATCAAGGCCAAAATAATCATATCATATACGTATAATCAAATAAAGCTGGTTGCTCAACTGATCTTTTTCTACTCTAAAACTTTTTGTGCAGATGAAAGAATTTTTCTCGGGGGACAAAATTCTTTCGAAAAAACCACCGGATTATCGAACATCCGAAGCACCCGACATGTGGTTTACACCGGAAGTTGTGTGGCAGATAAGAGGTGCGGAGTTTACTGTGTCGCCAGTACATCACGCAGCTATGGGCTTAGTCCATCCATCTCGTGGTATCTCTATTAGGTTTCCGAGGTTCATTGGGCCTGTGGCAGACCGCAAGCCCGATGAGTGCAGCACAGCAGCAGATGTGGCCCACATGTTTAGTTTGCAGACTAGGAAAATGAAGGTGAAAATAAATGATTGAGGATGAGATGTTTGCTCTGCGGTGATGGTGATCTTTTGCGTACTTCTTTTGCGGGGTTGCGTAAGAAAATTGTGCAGTGAAAATTGAAATCATGTATTTTGCCTTTTTTGTGTGTAGATGTCAAAAGGATCTACTTTAGTGTATATGTCAACAGTACGTTTTATTTTCGGGGACGATTAGAATCAAGTCTCTTGAGGAGCACGTTCCCTCGTTCCAAATCCATTGCGCCACGAGAAATTGCAGCTTTTCTACAGTAATGGCCCTAAGTTTTTAAGTTCCGTATTTAATAATTATTTATATATAAGGGAAAAGGAATAAAAAAAATAACATATTAATCACCTATCCATATTTCTTTATTTTCCTTGTCAGTCCTTGCACATTATCACAATCAAGAGTTTTCATATGAACTGCACTCATGTTATTTCAATTTTTTTCTTAGTGTTTTGATCACCTTACCATGAGTTATTCACAAAATAAAAATCAAAACAAAGAGGTATCTGCTTAGGTCAATAGCGGTTTTCATGAGCAAAGAAGGAAGGTATTATGTTTTGATTGATCTTGTTTCCTTTTGTTTTCTTGTGTCAATAGTCATACTTTTGATCGATTTCTAAATTATAGTAAGTAATTCTTTTTTGTTTAACAAAGTTGGTAATAAATATTATTGCATGGATATTAGTAAACGTCGAACTTGGTACTTTCCTTTTGCAATACCAATATTGACTTGATAAACTTTTAATAATGAACAAGTAATTCTTGTTCATTCAACAAAGTGGGCACTAAATACTATTGCATGAGTACTATAAAACGTCGAACACGGTACTATCCTTTTGCAATACCAGTATTGGTTTTCTAAAATTATAATTGGTACAAGTTATTCTTGTATATTCAACAAAGTTGGTACTAAATACTCTTGCAACAACAATATCGATTTTATAAAACTATAATAGGTACAACAACACTAAAACACTTCATGTCATCATATGATCAAACATGGTTGGTCTAAATTTTACCACTATATTGCAGATTCATTTAATTTCCATCCACTTGGGTCGTACGGACAGACAGCGGGGGCAGCTGGGTGAACGCCCCAGACAAGCTTGAAGAACAAGACATCAACTCCCTATATAAAGGGAGGCAAGGGGTTAATTTCATCGTTTACATTCTTTACACTCTTATACTAAATATACTGTTCATCGTCTCGGATTATTACTGATTTAAGCATCAGAGGCTTTTCACCGGAAAACCCCCTTTTTGGTGTCGAGTTTTGTAGGTACGAAGCCGCTCGAGGTCGAAAAGGGAAGCTCCGAGGTTGAGGGAGCTATTTTACCATTATAATAGTCCGAACCAAGACCCGATGAAGTCTATTTCACCATTACATAGCTTCCACCCACTTTCCCCAACTTTTTCTCTATCATA